CTGCCAGAAGATGCATCCTTGTCATATGCCTCTTTCTGTTTTTCTCTTTGTCTGCCAGAAGATGCATCCTTGTTTTTTTCATGCATCCTTGTCTCTTTCTGTTTTTCTCTTTGTCTGCCAGAAGATGCATCCTTGTCATATGCCTCTTTCTGTTTTTCTCTTTGTCTGCCAGAAGATGCATCCTTGTCATATGCCTCTTTCTGTTTTTTCTTTTGTCTGCCAGAAGATGCATCCTTGTCATATGCCTCTTTCTGTTTTTTCTTTGTCTGCCAGAAGATGCATCCTTGTCATATGCCTCTTTCTGTTTTTCTCTTTTTGTCTGCCAGAAGATGCATCCTTGTCATATGCCTCTTTCTGTTTTTCTCTTTGTCTGTCAGAAGATGCATCCTTGTCATATGCCTCTTTCTGTTTTTTCTCTTTTTTTGTCTGCCAGAAGATGCATCCTTGTCATATGCCTCTTTCTGTTTTTCTCTTTGTCTGCCAGAAGATGCATCCTTGTCATATGCCTCTTTCTGTTTTTCTCTTTGTCTGCCAGAAGATGCATCCTTGTCATATGCCTCTTTCTGTTTTTCTCTTTGTCTGCCAGAAGATGCATCCTTGTCATATGCCTCTTTCTGTTTTTTCTTTTGTCTGTCAGAAGATGCATCCTTGTCATATGCCTCTTTCTGTTTTTCTCTTTGTCTGCCAGAAGATGCATCCTTGTCATATGCCTCTTTCTGTTTTTCTCTTTGTCTGCCAGAAGATGCATCCTTGTCATATGCCTCTTTCTGTTTTTCTCTACTCAATTTCCCTCTGTATGCATTCTGTTTTCTTCTACTGTATATTCCAATATCTTTCCCAAATAAAAGTTTTGCAATTCATATAGATTTTTGTGTTGTACCTTATTAACTGCTTTTGTGTAGTTTCTGAAACATATGTCCTTCTGCATTTGCACCTCTCTCTGTCTCTGTCTCTCTCTGTCAGGCTTTTACTGGTCTTATGGTAATTAGACTGTTTTTTTTTTTCTATAGGTTCATTGGATTAACATTGTTAGAAAATAGAATAATCTTTATAACTGTTTAAGTTTATTGATTTTCTTTTTGGGTGAGGGTATAGAGAGTAGTTTGAAAGTTGATAAGAAGTATAATTTGTAAGACAAATAGATTGACTAAAGAATGTCATTTCTGTGTTTTCATAACATTAAGTGCTGAAGTAATGAGAAATATTTTTAGATTCTATTGAAACATAGGCTTCAGCTTAAATATGAGCCAATTTGTCTATTAATTCAGATTGGCAGAACAATTTGTCAACAGAGAAGATATTCTCCAGGGTATTCAGAATAAAGAGATTAAAATATTATGAGAAAACTAGCATCATACAAATAAAAAAAATAAAAAAAAATGATGGAATTATTTATGCCTGGAATGGAATTTCTGCCAAGGGTTTGAATATTTATGTATAATTGTGTACTCTGCTTAAGATCTGTGTTGCTCTCTGACCCCCTGCTGAAGATCATGTAATGGAGAATCAGGTCAACCTGACAAGAGACCCAGAGTTGGTTGCATGTGGTGCAGTAAGCATCAGGAACTATGCCCTCTCTCACAATTAACTGTTGAGAGGACATTCTCTTTAGAGTAGGTGGCACTGACAAAATTTGCATACAAATGATACTGTGCAGGTATTAGCAAATAGTCAGTGTAGATCTGGGTCTGAGAGAGCGCTATATAACAGCAGCTTTTTCTCAGTGTGAAAGCACTTTCTACATGCAGACCATTGGAGTTTACATTTACTACACTTAGAAAACCAGACAAGATAGACACAGATCACTTTTTCTATTTTCAGGCTGGGATCAAAGTGTGGCATCTGTCCTTATTTCCTCTGCTGTCTTCCTATACTATGATCAGAATATTTTGGTGTATTGTAATGGTTAACAAGCTTATCTCACAAGATCAATTATTAATGAGTTTGATCCTTGTTGGGTGCTCCATGCTTTCAGCCTTGTGCCTCAAATAAGCTACGCTTACTAAAATTGCTATGGTGTGAGATTTAGCATAATGTTTCCCCTTTTGGATTGTTCATTGAAAATCAATGAAGGAAGCCTAGTTCTGCAGGCTCCAAACCTGCATCAGTATCTCCTCCATTGCAGTAAAGAGGGATGGTAGGGTATTCTGATACCTATGTGGCTGAGTATTTTAGTTCTTGGCCTGTATATATATATATATATAAAATGTGTGTGTGTGTGCGTATTAATATTCTATGTAAAACTGACCATATATTCTGCCACTTTGTTGAGCAGGTAGATAAATACAGATTAAAGTGTTAGTTCCCAGCACATGCATTGTAGTAAAAGGTAATATTTATCTATATAAAAAAACATATGCATATGGATAAGCATTGCATCGTATATATATTGATGTGCCAAAGAAAATACTGTGATCATACTATGCTCCATTTTAGTGGTAGACAAATTTTATCCTTGTGAGTTTATTACTACTTACTGGCTACAAATAGCTATGGTCACAGTCATTAATTTATTGACCATTAATCAGTCTGCAAGTACTAAACAATTGATCATTCTGTAAGTACCAAACAAACATGCAATAGGATTTGCAAGGGAAAACTTAAAACATTTGCAAGTTTTATTTTCTAGAAATTTTAATTTCTTTTCAGAAAGTTTCTTTAAAACTCAGCTAAATATCAAACTGAAATTTTTATAGTTTTAACATATTAAATAGATTAAAATGAAATAGATTTAGATTTTGAAATAGATTAAACAGACTAAAATAGTTTAAAATTAGATAGTTTTAAATAGATTAAAATAAATTTAAATAGATTTTGATATCAACTTAATTTTCAAAAAGATCAAAATAAATTTAAATAGATTTTGATATATACTAAATAAATTTTTAAATAGATCAAAATAACTATGAATAGATTTTGAAATAGATTAAAATTAATTTTGAAATAGATTAAAATTAATTTTGAAATAGATTAAATAGATTTTAAAATAGACTAAATAGATTTCAATAGATTAAACAAACTAAAATAGTTTAGAATTAAATAGATTTTTAAATTTATTAACTAGATGGATTAAGTTTTATAGAATAAACTGATACCCACAAAAAACCTGACAATTTTTCATGTTAAGATTTTGAAACACACCATGTTAGATGTGCATTTGGGTGAATAGCTTACATTAATTTTGTTCTGTTGATCAAAATGTTAATTTCATTTTTTCCATATATGGAATTACAAGCATTTAATTTTAATTTTATTAAAAAGATTGTTTTTCACTTTATTGTTGTCATATCAGCATGAATTTTCAAAAATTATTGTCAAAAGTGGCCTAGTTTTATTTTTTATTGAAACTAACATTGAATGTAGAAGAAAACAAACATTTTCAGTTTATTATACATTTTTATATTAAGAATGGTAAAAATGTAACTGAAACCCTTAAAAAAACTTTTTTTGTAGTTTAGAGAGAAGGTACTTTTAATGATCAAACATGTCAGAAGTGGTTTGCAAAGTGTCCTGCTGTTAATTTCTTGCTGTATGGTTAGGTAGACTGGTAGAAGTTGATAATGATTCATTCAGTATATTATTTCAGAATAGTCAACTTTATATAAATGAGGGAGAGAGAGCCAACCTACTCAGAATATCTAAATCAGTCACTGAAAATAATTTTCACTAGTTTGATTATGTTAGTCACTTTGATGTGTGGCTTCTTCTCCTTTTTCTTTTATGTGCCATGTCTCTTCATGTTTCCAATGTAATTTTCCTGTTTCTTAATACTTTGTTTAGCTTTTGGAAGGCATCTTTTACTATTCTAATATGCCTTCAGATTTTGGTATCACATTTTCCATCATCTGTATGAATTTCTGTACTTGATTTGGATATCTCCAATTCATAGCTTGCATCTTGGGCTGTTCCTCTTCCTGAGAACCATACATCCTGTCTTATTGCTATTGATAGTAAATCCTTTCTTCCTGCTTTCATTTATTACCCCATTTAGGAGTTTCTACATTTTTTCTTTCTGTGTCTGCCATCAATAAAATGTTATCTGTGTATGTTAATATTTTGACCACCAAATAGTAAATCCTGGTAAGACTTGTTCTTTCCAGATTGCCTTGCTGGCTTCTATATGAGCTTAAAAATTCCTACTGAACTGCATTTCCGGATGTGATTCACTTGTTAAATGTGTTCAGTCTTTGAAACAATTTATGACAGTCAATGAAACGTGAATACTTTACAATAATGTGAAACACAAAAGGTCATGTGGTAAACAAAATGATTCCTCCTCTTACATTCAAACCTACCTCATTCAGTAACCTTCTCCTTTGAGTGGCTCTTGACTCTTATTGGCTGAATTTAAGTTAAAAAAACAACAAAAAAAAAACTAGCCAGATATGGTATTACTGTTTGTATAGTGAGATTGAAAGGTTGTCTTTTCTTGTGATTTCCTATGAATTCCTCCAGATAACCAAACGATTAATTCAGACAAGTACTGCTCCTAATTAGACCAATTGAAAGTAGCAATTAGGAAAAACATCCAAAATTAGTTTAGAGAAAGGACATAATTAAAAAAAAACAAAAAATGTTTCATATTACTTTGGTAACCAGGCAAAAATTGTTACAGCTTGATTTTTTTCAAGTCTTCTCCGAATGGAAAAAAAAATACAAATTCTTTGAGAGACTGATACCTCCCCCTCCCACCTCAAAAAATAAAAATAAAAAAAATAAGGGAGTATGGAATTGCCTGAAAAATGACAGAAGATAGTGGGACAAAACAGTAAATATTCTGTTTGGAAAAGTTAATATCAAAAGTAAAATAATAAATTTTAATTTTTTACTTAGTAAATGAAACAAACCTTTTGGCTGGCATAAAAGTAAAGTTATTTATATTCTGGAAAGTTTCCCCTCTCCCACTTCACCTCACCACCATAAATTCTAACCTCCAATTTTTGTTCAGAAATAAAAATTCCATTTTTTCTTTTCTTTTTTTTTATTTTATATAATTTCAGAAAATTCCCTTTATTTCAATAATAATGAAAGGAGAGTTTCCCTGGAAGACCACAAGACATTTAGTGAGTTGGTTATTTGTCTTTTTTGTTTGTTTTTGTTTTATTTTTTATTTTAAGAAAGACAAAGACATGATGGTTACATAAAAATCAATTCCAATATTATTACTAGTTTTTTTCTTAATTTAGTTTACAAAATGTTACTTTTTTTCCACACACAATTAACTATGTTTACTTTTAAATAAACCAGTTCTTGAAACATTATTTTAAACACTTCATTGACAAAAGCTTTTAAATAAAGTAGTTTGGAAAATAAATTTGCATTTTTGGAGCCTCAATAAAAATTTGTTCACATGTAACAAAATTTAAATTTATTTGTCCAAATCATAGCAGTCTTCAAAGCCAACTTTGAAAATAATTCTTTTCATTCCTTCTTAGATTTGCTTATTGTACAGTTTACACTCCTCCCTGGTCTTTTGAACAGGAGAAGAGGTTAATCCCATGTTTCTTGTTTAAGATTGGGTTTATGTTTCTTTCTAAAGTCTACTTCAACTCTTTACTTCTAATTTCTCTGCCTAAACTCTGAAATTTTATTTACTTTTTTTTCCCTCAATAGGTATAGCTAGGTTTGCCTATCATTCAGTTCATACTCCAGCCCAGTCTTTTGAACTAAAGTAGAGGTTTATTCCTTGTTTCCTGCTTAGGATTCAGTTTCTGGTTCCTTCTAATGTTTTCTCATTCTCTTTCACTCCCAGTAGTTCCTTATGTCTTAGTGGCATTATCACCTTACTTGGGGTGAATTGATTAAAAAAAAAAAAAAAAAAAAAAACATAAAATGACCACGCAGTCTGGATGCAAAGAATACCAAAAGTGTTGGATTGTTACTTACATAATTTACTGTCAGACTATTATAATTATAGCTGAAACGTTGTGTTAGTAATCACAAAGATGAGAACCTGAATGTAAATCATGTAGATCACAATGAAACTGGTATCAAAATTAAATAAATGTATTTCTCTTCAAAACTACAAGGGTTGAAAAAGACATTGAATGTTGTTACATCTGCACAAAAGAATGTAAGTCCCTAGCAGGACTAAAAAGTCACATCTGTGCTGCCCATATTTGAGGATAGATCAAATGATTACATTGCTCAAGTTGCAACCATCAGTTATGTATTTTCATATGTATATACTGGTTGTGTGGTTCCAAGTGATTAGAATGATTGCTTTTTGGCCATGAAACCCAAGTTCAAATCTCATCATGGCTGATTTATCAGGGAGGTAATTTCTTGATGCTATTGGACTGGAGAGGTGATCCCAATGTGTGTCACCATTGAAAAGTGCCTGAAACCTATGCGATGAGTTGACCCAAGCCTTGTGAATGAAATTGGCTAGACAAATACTGTACAGAACCCATCAATGATTGTGCTAGCACAATGTCACAAGTCCTCATTACTGAGGGTTTGTGTGTACTGACCTTGTTCAAACTATTGTCCATACCAGATTATGTACTCTCTTCCAGAACTGTAACTAAAGTCTGTTCAGTATATTTGTTGTATAAGCCACAGTTTCATCCTGTAAATGTTAAATAAACACAAATATGCCTGAGCAGACACCTCCAATAGCAGACAGGTGTGCTCAGAAACAAGTATCTGGCCATTATTCTGTATTGAAGAATCACCCAAATTTAAATTTTGAGTCTTGTTCAAAAAATTGATCATGCCAGATTATGTGCTCTCTCCCAGAAACTGTCTGTTAAGCATAGTTGCAGTATAAGCCACAGGTGGTCTCTATGGGTATTGAAGAAAGAAAAATGTACCTGAGCAAGTGTCTGCAACAGGGATTGGTTAATCACCTTTGCAGATGGTTCTGCTTGTAAATAAGTAGCCAGTCATTATTATATATGTACTGAAGAATCTTGTGTTGACCATCGATCCTTCATCCTGGGTATGATGATAAACTATATCTGTCAGCAAGGCCTCTGATCAGGAAGTTTTGAGAAGCATGAAACTACCTCTTAAACCATGTGACTCAGGGTGGTAGCAACTGTTAGGGTCCCAGCTATGGGCAAATAGTGAACATCCAAAATAAGGCTAAAACATTATGAAAATATTGCAATACATTTTCATAGAAAAAAATTATCAACGATACATTTTTTAAATAAAAATAAATTACCAAAGTTTCCAAGAAAATTAAATTTTGGTATTAAATGAACTATAAAGAGTTGATATGCTGTTAAACAGACCAAACCAAACCATCAATCCTCTGAATTGACAGATTAAATCTTGGATATATATTGTATTATATTCAAGGGGACTATCACAGCTTAATTTACTTTTGGTTTCTACCATCATAGCATTTGACTTGTGAAACTTTCAGAATGAAAACTAGTGGCATTAATTAATTATTAAGTCTATGCCATTCCAGGAGTGAGGTGTGTTAGCATGAAAATTCTTTCTTCTTATAAAATGATTTACCATTGTATCTGCATAACTTCTAATGTAAACTGTGCCTCATACTCCAAAAAAAAACAGCTTCACCTATTTAAAAAGATTAAAGGAGTAAACATAAAACTGACAGCAGCAAACTTTATGTATTACTTTTGCTTTCATTGCTTTCCACTTTTGTTTCACTCTTTTTCTTTTCCATTTCTTCTACCTTTCTTACTTAGTTACAACCTTTACTTCTTCTCATTTCTGTTGAAATGTGGAAATTAACAGATAGCTGATGGCTGACATATGAGTGACCCTCATATTTGAGTGTCACTCCAAAAGTAATGCTTTGTATTTTATTACATTGACCTATAATATAGCAGGCAAGTTTGGACCTTTCCAGCAATAACCCAATTTTTTTTTATTTTTTATTTTTTTGTTTTTTTGTTTTGTTGACTGGCTACAAATAGTAACTTATCAACATGATGACAAAATGGCTTCTGACAAGAAAATAAATACTAAACAGTGATATGTAATAGAATTGCTCTGAATGAAAAACGTCAACATTCATCAATGCTTGCTAAACATTTATGGAGACAATCTCAAGGATAGATATTTAAAATTTTTTTTTTTTACACTATTGTTCACCCAATATAAGGCCCAAGAGCCACTCACAGTAGAGGGTTACTGAATGAAATTGTTTTATGACATAAAAGGGTGCAGCAAGAAATGTACATTATAAGGATATGTAGGGTAGATAACAGTTGACCCTAGACTTGAAGAGGTTAAGATTGTAGTTATTAGGGAAGCATCCTCTTGGGAGTCTGTTCCACACAGCAGTGGCTCTTGGGAAGAAGCTGTCTTAATGGCATTTCCTTTTTATCAATGGAATATGAAGATGACATGGCAAGGTGTTCTAGCTGAAAAGTTCTGAACTGTTGGAACTAAGGAATGTTTGTTGGGAAATATTTTTCATGGAAATAGTGATAGTAGTGGGTGGCTTGTGATATTGTGTTTGTGGGAAAATGATTGTATGGGTTGGAAATGATTCATTACCCACAAAGCTGCATAGAACTCTTCAAGACTAAAAAGCAAGAACTGGGCAGTTCCATACTTAATTTTTGATCTTATCTGACTCTTCTAACGATGGAGCATGGTAGGTGGAGTTAGATACTTTCTGGAGCAGTCCAAGGAACCCACTGTTTTTCAATAGCACAGTTAAGTAGTGTTTTTGATTTTTATTAGTGGCAACACCTATGTATAGGAAAAAAGTGAGCCACCTTTGGTGCTGCAGATATTTACAAGCATTTTAAGAAGGTTTTTGTTCATTGCTAACAAAAATACATAACTAATAGTGGTGACTGTGGACAAATGGTATTTTGTAGATTCAAATTTGGCCAATGAAATATCATTATTGTACTCCCTGTATTTATTGTAGAAATAAATTTGAGTCATAACATTCAAAGCATTGCTTGTATATATTTAGTGTATAGTTCTTTTATAGTAAACTGATTAAGAAAGACACTGTAATTTTAGTTATTTCTTTTATTTTCTCAAGTACTTTCAATCTCATCCGAGATCATCTTCAGGGGTGAATTTCTAATACAAAAAATGAATGCAGTAGATGTGAATTTTGGGTGTGAAATGCACATGATGCATGCTCTATTGATTCAAAGGTTAATGCTATCAAGGGAGGTAACTTAGTTTATGTTTGCAAAAAATTTTTAAAGAATTACAATTTAAGTATTAGCCATGTAGAAGTTACTAAATGTTGCTCCCAGAACTGAACCCATGGTAACACCATTGCGTTGTTCATGGATATTATTTTGATGGTCATACAAGGGAACCTCTGTAGTACAAGTCAAGAGTAGTTTCCATAATATGTTAGGTTTAATTTTTAATGGAAGGAGAGATGGATAGTTGTAAATATGCTTTATAATTATGTCAATTGTTTATTTTAACTGGGACATTGGTAAATAAATTTTCAACATCAAGTGAGGCTATGGTTTCATTATTAAGTATTTGTACTTTTAAGATTTGGATTAGTTTGTGAGTTGATTTAATGCTGTATTTATTAGGTATGTATGGTGTAATGAGTTGGTCAATGATTTTGGTTATTTGAAAAACTGGAGTGGGTATTTAGGATACAATAGGAAAGAGAGGAAAGTTAAGTTTATGTATTTTTATTGTTCCATACATGTATCCTGGTTTGTAGTCACCAATTATTTTAGGAAATTTTAAGTTGTATTGTTCTGTGTTGTTGGCTGTGATAAGTTTATTTCAGTTTCAGTTGGTTAATAGGATTTTTGTTGTCTTTTTTAAATTTGGTGTGATCATCAAGTATTTGTTGAAATTTTGAATTATAATCAGATTTATTTAATACAACGAATATATTGGCTTTACAGTTGATATTTTAAATCAGCCCACCAAAACCAGAAAGTGTTTATATATATATATATATATATATATATATATATATATATATATACACACATAACAGCTGTAACAACAACATTTTCCAAATCGTGTGACAGCAAAATTGTACAATTGTTAGATTAAGCTGTGAACCATTGTATCTTAGAAATGATTAAAGATATCTTACTGGAATTTTCTGAGTTTTTTTATAACACTACTG